GAAGCTGTGGCTTCATCTACGTCCTCTTAACTACCTTGCTGTGGGAAACCTTCCTCTCCTTTCCCCAGGTTCCCTTTTACTAGAAAGTTTAAAGGATCACATTTCAACCACTGCCCAGGACCACTGCAAAGCCATCTACCTACATGTCCTCACCACCAATAATACAGCAATAAACTTCTATGAAAACAGAGACTTTAAGCAGCATCATTATCTGCCCTATTACTACTCCATCCGAGGGGTCCTCAAAGATGGTTTCACCTATGTTCTCTACATCAATGGCGGCCACCCTCCCTGGACCATCTTATATCCTTTACTGCTGGAAGGGAACAGAAGAAGGCTTTGTGGTTTCCTGGCTAGAGGGTTAGAAGAACCAGAGGGTCAGCTGGGACTGTGGCCCCCTTCAGGTGACAGTCACTGGCTTAGCTTTGCAGTGTTGTTCCCTGAGTAGCTCAGGGTACGGGCGGCGGATCTAATAGTCTAACGCACCTGATTGGTCACATATATTAGGAAAATGCACTCCCTGGCAGCTTTAACCCAGCAGGAAGGTTGGGTTTTAACTCTTTGGGCCCCAGGGTTGATCCATCCACTCAGGAAATATGGAAAGTCTCCTGTTCTAGGGGTCAGCAGTAAACGTAGCCGATGCAAGTCCCACCCTAAGCCTGTGATGCCGAGAAGAAGGTAAACAGTGGCAGAATACACTTGGGTTAAGCCCTTCCTCATGCAGCTGCATCCACCCCCAATTCTAATGGTGTCCTTGTTAGGTGGAAAGGAAACCAGATGTCCCAGCAGCCATGAGGTAATAGACCAGAATATACCACATATACCTATGGGTATTTTGAAGAAATGATTCATTTTAGAGGGAAGTAAAACAGCAAAGAGGTGACCCCACACTCCATAGACCTAGCTCACATGAAATCAGGCATGTATGGGCATCCTGACATCTCCTTGTTGGGGTAAGCTCTGTCCCTCTGGAGAACTAGGAATACTTGTCTTGTAGATCCTCCCTGGTCTTTGTTAAGTACCTTATGGTGATTGTCCCAAATAGCTCTACTCTGTATTATTTCCCAAATTGATCGTCCATTTAATGAGCCTTTCTAGTATTTTCTAAGGCCTAATAGGCCCATGGCCTCCAGTTGAATGCATTGAGCCATGTGGGAACAATGCTGTGTGGGTCATTGGTCAGACTCCAAGGATGCTGCAGACAAGGCAGATGATGGCATGTCGGTATCTTCCTTGACAGAACCCACAGACTACATCCAGCACCTGGGCTCAGCACTAGCCAACCTGAGTCCCTGCTCCATCCCACACAGGATCTACCGCCAGGCCCACAGCCTGCTCTGCAGCTTCCTGCCATGGTCCAGTATCTCCACCAAAGGTGGCATCGAATACAGCCGTACCATGTGATACCACTGGGGCAGCCTCCCCCAGGCCTCTGTCCTTAGCACTCTGTGGAGCCTATTTTCCTGTCTGTCTGACTTCTGCTCTCCTTTGCAAGGAGCTGGTGACCACCTGCCAGCCCATCGGCCTGCCCCAGTTGCAGGCCCGGTGCTATGCTGGCTCAGAAGCAGAGTGTATGCCTGTCCTTCAACAGGTAGGAACAGATGGTAGGGCCTGGGGAGTCTAGTGCTTGCAGAGACAGAAGTCTCTAGGCAGGTACTTGTGAGCAGTTCACAGTGGGTCCAGAAGCATTCTGAAAAGCGAGGGACCAAAGACCTCAAACCACTTGCCAGAACTCTGTTTACTCCCTAGACTGTGTGTACACATTTGCATACACGTGTGCACATTTGTGGAGCGTAGAACTCAATGTGGGCTGTCTTCCTCAATTATTCTCCACTTTACTCTTGAAACAGGGTTTCTCCTGGAACATGTAGCTCACTGATTTAACTGAACTGGCTTGCTAGTGAGCCTGAGACATCTCTTGTCTCTCTCAGCTGCCTATCCAGGCTTTTTATGTGGGTGTTAGAGCTCAGTCTTAGATGTTTATATAGCAGTCGCTTTTCCAATGGAGTCATCTCTCCAGTCTCTGAATGTTTTTCTTTTTTTAATGTTTTTATTTATCTTTTGAGAATTTGAGGGCATTGGATTCTCTGGAACAGGAGGTATAGGCAGTTGTGCCATGTAGATCCTGGGCATTGAACCCTGGTCCTCTGGAAAGAGCAGCAAATGCTCTTAACTACTGAGCCATCTCCCCAGGGCCTGAACAAAGTTTTCTTTCCTTTTTTGCTAAAATGATGGATTCATGTGATTAAAATCTTGGAAAGGTACAGAAAGCCCAAGCAGCTCCTACTGGAGGCCCACAGTTACTTCGTTTTACCTTACAAGAGCCACTCAACGATCTGTGATCCATGTCTGCTTCTCCTCAGAATTTTACCCAGACTTCCACTCTTAGCACTGGTACTGTCACCAGTACATCTCCATGTGGCATTGTCCGAAGCCCTCTGTGGCTTTCCTGTGCCCACAACTTGTAAATAACATTATGCCTGCATGCAGCCATTTTGGTTGCTGAGAGCTGGTCTCCCAGTCCAAAGGAACAGAGAATTGCAGACCTGTAAGAGGTGTGGGTACTGCAGAGCCCACTCCATTGACCATCTACACTAAGGTTTGATACACATCCAGGTGTGAATCTGGCAGTGCTTGCATCTGTAAAGTTCCAGGGAGCCTGCTGGCCACTCATAGACTGTGGGCTGGAGAAGGGCTCCTGCTTTGGTATACCCTAACTCAGCTAAAGCCAATAGGCCAGAGTGTGAAATAGGTGAGCATCCTGCAGTGCCTTCACGTGCCCTGCTCTCTTCCCTGCAGGCTCTCCTTCCTGCTTCTGGAAACTTCTCCTTCCACCTGGAGCCCTTGTCCTGCCTCCATGCACTGGCACCGTCCCAATGGCCTGGCAGGTGTTGGCTACATTCACTGGAAAAGGGCTGGCCGGGCCTCTCCTCTGCCTCCTGCTCCTTTATCTTTCCTACAAAATGGACTGAACTTTGCTGTGAAAAGAATGTGGACGCCTTTGACCCTGAAGACACAGGAACGTTAGAATAAAGAGGCACAGCAAAGCGAATACCAGGTTTTTATATAGGAATGCCCTAAAGAAACTTAGACTATGGAAGCAGTTCTCCTCCATGAAAGGCTGGAGACTGGGGAGAAAGAGTGGGGCTGGCCCTTCATGAGAACTTAAAGTTTCAGGAATCAGCCCTCACCATAGACAGTTAGATGGACAGTTCCCTGTTCCTCAGGCCTCCTGCTACCCACTTCCTACTGTCCAGAAGGATCATCCTGCCTGTTGAATCCTGGCATGCTCCATATAGCTGACCTACATTGGGAGCTGGGCCAAGGACAGGTAGCTGTTGGCTTCTGGGTTCCTTCCTTGCTCATCCTTCTAGAAGCTGAAAGCTTCAAGGCCTGGCCAAATGCAGACAGGAGGAGGCTGAACTCTGCATTGGGTATCTCTTCTACTGGACCCATGGGACTTGGGAGCAGAAGGCAGTTGGTGCCTGCGGACCTTCAGCCTCTGAGGCAGAGGCTCTTGTCAGTGCCGGGAATTATACTTGCAGCATCCCTTCCCTTCTACCCCCAAATGTTTGTTGCCAGAGTCCTGCCCAGCATTGCTGCAGTGTCACAGGAGCCCTGACAGGGTATCCTCACAGCCCCTCACTGTGCCAGACTGATTAGGAACAGCTCTATTGATAGGCCTCATTACTGAGTGCTTCCCTCCCACAGCATCCTCAGGCCCCAGAGCCAGCCCAAGGCTGCTTGGCCTCAGAGAAGGGTCCTCACAAAGCAGTGAGGCCAAGGCAGGAAAAGCATTCCCCTTCCTCAACAGAACTGGCCAGCAGGTGGCCAGTGTCCTGACTGGTTTCAGTTGTGTGCTGAGGCCCCAGCCCTGTGACCCCCTCCTTTTCAGTCAATGGTGATCATGTGATTTTCATTTCTGCCCTGTGTGGTCAAGGAAGAGCCTTCTAGGAGTTTCTGACTTGGACATTCTTAAATCCAACTCAAGCCTCGACCTGTCTGTCCCTCCCTCCTGTCCCCTAATTACTGCAGTGTCCAGCCCAGTGTTGAACAAATTGTAGTGTGTAGTCTCGTTACAAACAAATAAATAATTTCATTAGTCTCATCCTGTGTCTAGTAGCTGGCTCCCCACACTTTGTGCTTTGTCCTTGAGGGCTAGGGCTGAGGGCTTGAGATCTTGCTGGTGGCTCAGCCATGCAGGCATCTGTCCTGCAGAGAGTGTGAACCTGGTGAAGGCATCTACTGAAAGCAGCAACTGGGCTATTATCCTAAAGATTCCTACTTGCACCTGGCTCTCAGATTTGAGCTAGGACTTGGTCCAAGTAGGAAACTATAATTCTCTTCCTGCCCCCCCTTCTGTCCCCCATCACCATCATAACTTAGAGAAAGCTCCAAGGGTAATGCAGGCACATGGTCAGTAGAGAAACTGGCTCTGCTCCCAACCAGAGTGGGTGTCTCTCTGGTGGATGTTGTCTGGAGACAATTTATGTGGTCACAGCATGGGGGGGGGGGGGGTGCGCGGTGTC